TGAGGCGGAGGGGCTGGCAGCAGCAGCTAGGGACACAGGAGGTAGGCTGGCAGCAGGAGGGGGCACAGCAAGACGGGGCACAGCAGGAGGGCTCGCAGCAGCTCTCTGGGCACTCGTCCACCTGCCAGGAGTCAGTGCAAGAGTCGCAGGCACCGGGCAGGCAGACGCGGCTGCCGTAACTGAGGTCATCTGAGCAGATGGACAGAGTGGAGGCGGCCATGGCGGGTCGTGGGGCTGGAGGTGAGCTGGGATAGGGAGTGAGTGTGTGAGTGTGAGTGAGTGTGTGTGTGAGTGTGTGAGGAGCCTGGGCTGTTGGCTTTTATACCCCGGCCAGGCGAGTGCTGGCCCAGCATGGGCGCACACGCCCCTTCCTTGCTGCCAGAGGCGCGGGCTCCGGGCCACGCGCAGCAGGTGGTTTAGCCCGAGGGGCCATTGCTCAGCTCACCACACTCTTAAAGTTGGCTCAAGCGTCTTTCCCTGTTGTGTTCCCAGGAGGAAAACTCGGCGTGAGTGCAGGTTGTCTCGGTCGGGCGCGGGCAGACGGGCGCGCGTGGGGCTCGGGTCCTGGCCCCTGGCGGGTCACGTGCCTGGCGGCTGGAGGTTCCTTGCATTTCGCTGACTCCCGTGGACGGGAGCGTTTTCCTGGAGGTTCTCAGGGGTTCCCCATGTCTCCTAGGCCCTTGTCAGTGCCGAGCGTGGCAAACGCCTGTCCCGTCCTGTCCTGTGACCATCAGCACCCCCGAGCTGCCCTTCCCGAGGGGACAGTCCCGTTTTGACGTGAGCAAATGTACCAACGCTCCATGTCCCTTGAGGCTGTCAGACCCTCCGTGACGGAGGTCACGCACGGCCCCTAACACTGCCTCTGGCTGGGGGGTTTCACCTCTCCCCCCCGCCCCCCGGACCTGGCGGCGGTGCGTGCTGTTTGGGGAGGAGTTTGAACTGCCGATGCCCCTCAGAGGCCGGCTTTCCTGTCCCCACGCACCCGCCGCCCGTCCCTGCTCCCCTGCATGCGTCACTCGGCTCACCTGCAGGACCCTCGAGCTCCGGGGTCGGCCTCCTCGCCGCTCCTCCTGCCTCGTCCTGGGCCCAGACTGCACCATTCTGTCGTTCTGACTGCGGGGTCTGTGCCACGGTCCCCTCGGGCAGCCCTCTACCACCCTAACCTAACCTTCCGGAGAGAAACTGCTCCTGGTCCCTGGGCAGAGTTTAAATCAACGCAATCCACATGATGGGCCCCCCAGTCCTCCCTCCCCGCCCAACCCCGTGGAGGGACCCTCTGAAGCACGGCCGGGCGCCCCCTGGCCGAGGGGCCTGCGGCTCCCCTTGTGCCCCCAGTGAAGGCAGCCAGCCCCTCCCGGAAGCCACAGTCGTCACGGCTGCACGCAGACGGACCCCCTCCCCAGGGAACAGATCTGGGTGCACAAAGCCTGGCTCCTGACTGAAAGCCCACATGTGACCTGTCAGACCCGGCTACCGGCGGTCACAAACGCTTCGGCCTCCTGCCACACACCAGGCTTGGGGTGCAGCTGGGGCACTGCTCACCCCCCACCCCCGCCGGCCACATCCGTGTCCCTGGCCCAGCGCCTCCCTACGGGACCTCGAAGGTGCTTCTCCGCCTCTGACGCTGACTCTTTCCACTCCCAGCCCTTCCTGCCCCCGCCCCCCGCCGTCCAACCTGCAGGGGGCTCTGTCCTAGGCTCCCTCACACGACACCCTCCGTGTCCCTCCGTGAGGCCACTGGGGGCCAGGGCCTCCTCTGCTCCAGCCTCTGCTCATGCTGCTTCGTAACGGCCACCGTCCCCGCTGCTCCTTCTGCTCCTTCTGTGGCCGGTGGGCGCCTCTGACGCCTGGTGGCTAAGCCCTTTCTCCAGCTCAGCCGGGCCTGACCGGGTGTCACCTCCTCCCGTTTTACGGTTGAGGAAACTGAGGCTCGGAGAGGTTCGGCGACCGTGGATCGTGGGCCTCGAGGCCGAGTTCGGTCAGTGTCTCTGTGGCCCTCTCTCCCTCTGCTGAATCGTAGGCACTGGACAGCGACGGCTGCTTATTTCTGAAGCTGCCGTTTCAAAAAGCCTTGGTGGCACCTGGGAAGACCACCCAGACGAGAGACGCCAAGGCATTGACCCAGGGCCGGAGCGGGTCGGCCGGCAGCCCTGGCTGGGGCAGAGGCTCCGACAGGCGGGAGAGGCTCCGTTTGAGCGGGAAGGGGGGCTCCGTGAGCCCCAGGGAGGCCGCACAGTGGGGAGGCTGGAGGCAGGTCACCGGGTCGGGGCTCCTGTGTGACCGCTCAGGGGAGCACGGCTGGCTTTTCTGGCTCAGTCTGAACTGGAAGTGGGGGTGAAGTCGGGGGAGCTGGCAGTCCTGGGCCACGCACGTCCTGGCCGTTCTGGGTCGATGGCTGCGGAGGCCTGGCCGGCTCTCTAGCCCTGCGTGTGTGGCTCGGCCACTGTCCGGTCGACCCGGCTCTCAGGGTGGATGCAGCAAGTGGACACGTCAAAGCGACTGGAATCACGTGGCAGAACGTCGTCCCCCGCGTGTCCGACTGTCCTCCGGGCCTCGTACACGCAGCCCCGGCGGGAGCTGCTCCAGGAGTGAATCCTCGGCCCCTGTTAACCCTGCAAACCCTCCCACGTGCACGCGGCCCAGGCAGAGGCAGACGCGGTGTGCGGCCCAAGTGCCATTTTAATCAAACAACGTGGGAGAGGCTCCCACTGGGATGAGCTGAATTCGGGGTCCCCCTCACTGTTCACGGGCCCGAACTCCCCATGCCTGGGGCTTGGCCAGGCCAAGGCACGTTCTGGAAGCTGGGCAGCTTGGCTGGAGGAGGACCCGCGTTTCCGGAAGGAGGAGCTGGACCCTGGTGGGGACACGGCTGAGACCGGGAGGTGGCACTGGGCTCCGCTGTCTCACGGCCTTTGGGGAGGGATTTAGGGGCACAGTGTTTACTCAGAGCCCCAAGCTCCCCAGGGACCCCAATGGGCACGACCCCAGGGGGTGTGGAATCTGACCCCCATGCCCACAGCAGGCCGAAGCTGGGGTCAAGGTCAGGCTCCTGGAGCGCAGACCCCTCCCCTGCCTCAGATGCCGACTCTGTCCGGGACCCCCGCTCCCGACACGGCTGCCCCCAGGGTGACCCTGCCCTTGACATTCGGACACGTTAGAGGACGGGGCGCCGTCGTGTCCCACTCATCCCCCCCGCTCTGTGGGCAGCTTGTTTCACAGCCCGGGAAAGGACGTGTCCCCTCACGCCCCACTGTTTTGGTGCCCACAACATAAACTATGAAGAAACGATCCTCGCATCACAGGGCGGGCTTGTGGCCCTGTCCTACGCCGTCCCCAGAGGTCACGCCGAGGCGTCGCTCAGACCCGCACACCGTGGGTCCCACGGACCCCTCTCCAGCAGCGACTGTCCCCTCTGTCCTCCCTGACTTTGCTTCCTGCAATAATGGAGTGTTGGCCGTTGTCCTCGTGTGGTCCCTCTTCAGGCTGGAAGTGACCCCAAGACTCCCCACAGCCCATCGGGGCCACAGCCTTTGCCACTTCAAGGAAAATCACTGGTTCGACCCTAAGCGAAGGTGTCCTGGGGGCTTCTGGATCATTCTGTGGGCTGCTGTGGGCTGCAGGGACATGCGTCTGCCTGAGGTCTGATGCAACGTGACTGCAGCTGGGGGCCGTGTGCCTCAGGCCCCAGTGTGGGGATAGGGAGCTGTCCCCTCTGACTGGTCACTTGTGCCCTTGCCCACCTTCACAGGCGAGAGGCCTTAGGACGGTTTCACGGGGCAGGGACCTCATCACACCCTTGTGACAACAGCCTGGGCTGGGCGTTGGCGAAGTAGACTCAGATGGCCTGCGGGGAGCACCTGGAAACTAGCAGATGCCCCCAGATATTAGCCGTCTGTCACTGCCAGCACGGAGTGGTGTCGGTCCCAGCACAGACGGGAAGGGGGCCTGGTCCACGGAGCGCCGTGAGGACGGAGCCAGCCGAAGTCTGTAACCGCCAGACGGCGCCTGGCACGGCTCCTCGCTCGCTCGGTCTCAGCTGCGGGGACCACCGTCGCGTCCGGGCGTCTGGTTGGCGATGGCGGCTCTGCTGGACGCTCAGGGGACGCCATGCGTGAGCCTGTCTCCGCGGGGGCTGCACGCTCCCTGGGGCCGGGGCTGGGACTGGTCCTGCCCAGCGCTCCCAGCAGCATGCCTGGTTGTGCGGGTGGCCGGGAGAGGTCACGGGCAGGCCCGGGGGTGGTTGGCCGGGGACAGTCGTGACACCAGCCCGTAGGGCTCCTGCGAGGAGTCCGCCCCGGGCTGAGAGCTGTGTCCACCGCCCCGGGTGCCCGCGGGGCCCTGGCGTAACCGCTGTGATTTCTCTGACGCAGACCTGCGGCCCCTGGACATCCTGGCAGAGGCGGTCCCTCCGGACGGCGCGGCGCGTGGGATCCGCGTGACGCGGGTTCAAGGCGCCCTGGGCCTGCAGCTCTCGGCCGCCGCCCCGCACGCCATGAGCTTCCCCGCGTCGAGGATTTTCGTCAGATGCGACGTCTTCCCTGAAGAATTTTCCATCGTCGTAACCCTGAAAGCTCCCAGTCTTCCCCCAAAGGTCAGTGACCCTTCTGACCTCCGTGGCCAATGTCCTCGGGGCCAGAGCGTGCAGACCGACTGGGTGGGCGAGGTCTCCTTGACCTTTGGGGTCCGCAGAGGCGGCCTCGATGGGCGGCGAGGTCCCCGTCACCGTGCGTGTGCAGGCAGGGCCTGTGTGGCCGTGTGCTCGGGGTTCGTTCTGGCAGTTTCTGGCGTGCTGGCGGGTCGGAGGCCGGGACGGGGCTTGGAGCTTTTACTGGGACGGCCTTTAGCAGGAAAGGTCCGGCGGCCCGAGTGCGGAGCAACGACTCCTTTACCTGCCGCACGTGGGTCCGCCTGGCCCGGACGTCCCCTGGGAACGGAGTCACGCAGGGCGTGGCCTCCACGCAGCCCGAGTCCGGGGTGCGCGTGTGGCAGAGCACCCCAGCGCTTCGTGCCCCGCGTGGGCCGCCGCGCGTCGGGCTGTAGGCACTGGCCGCGGTTCCTTTACCCTCCCCGGCTGATGGGCCGTTTCCAGCCGTCGGCCGCTGCGTCTAGCGTGGCCATCAGCACTCGTGGTCTCGTTGGCATTTGGCGTATGTGTTCGAGGCCTTCGGGTGAGGGATGGTGGCGACTCCCCGGTTCCCTTTCAGGAGCCGCCGCGGTCGTCCAAGCAGCTGCACGGCCTGACGTTCCCGCCAGCGGCCGCGGGTTGCGACTTCCCTGCGTCCTCGCCAACACTTGTCATCAACGGACTTTTCACTCCGGGCGCCCTCGTGGGCTTGGAGCGGCACCGCACCGGGGCTTTGGTCTGCGTTTCCCTGATGAATGACGATGTCGCGTACGTTTTCATGTGTGTATGGACCATTTACGTGTCTTCTTTGGAGCAATATCTATTCAAGTCCTTTGCCCAGTTTTTAACCGGATGAGTTCATGAGTTATAAGAATTCTTCATATTCTAGATTATGATCACGTGTGTGGTTTGCAAATATTTTCTCCCGTTCTGTGAGTGGTCTTTTCACTTTCTTGATAGTGTCTTTTGAAGCACAAAACCTTTTAACTTTAATGAAGTCAGATTTATCTTTTTTTTTTCCCCTTTTTTGCTTATACTTTTAGTGCCATGTCTTAGCATCCAGTGCCAAATCTGGGGTCGCGAAGATTTAGCCCAATATTTTCTCCTAAGAGTTTTCTAGCTTTAGCTCTCATATTAAGTCTTTGATTAATTCGGGTTAAGTTTTTGGATGTGGCAGAAGGGAGGGGTCATCCTTTTGCATGTGGATGCCCAGTTGTCCCAGAAGAGACTATTTTTTCCCATTGAATGTTTTTGGCACCTTGTCGAAATCCATAGCTGAATGGGTTTATTTCTGGACTGTCAATTCTATTCCACTGATAAACCAGTAAGTATTAATTTATCGTTTATCTCTATGCCAGTACCAGCCTGTCTTGATTACTGTAGCTTTGTGGTAAATGCTGAAATTGGGAAGTGCTTGCTCTTTTTCGAGATCGTTTTGACTATTCTGTGTTCCTCGTCTTTCCACGTGAATTCTAAAATCAACTGGTCAACCTTTGCTAGGACGTCAGCTTGGATTCTGAGGGATTCGATAGATATGCAGCCAGACAGGGCGAGTGTTGTCGTCTGAACAATATAAAGTCTTCTGATCTGTGACCATAGGAGGTTTTCCCACCTTAAAAACACCGGAAATGATGTTTCACAGCTTTCAGGGTATTAGTTTGGCAATTTTTTTGTTCTTTGGTATTTTCGTTCCCGAGTATTCGTTCATCTAATTCGTCCATATGTAATTATTCATAGTATTTCTCCATAATTCTTTTTTCTTTTTCGGCAAGGTTGTTAGCAATGCCCCCTCTTTGGTTTCTGATTCTGGTGATTTGGTTTTCTTTTTCGGCAAGGTTGTTAGCAATGCCCCCTTTGGTTTCTGATTCTGGTGATTTGAGTCTTCTCTCTCTCTCTCTCTCTCTTTTCGTGATTGATGTGACTAAAAGGTTGTCAATTTTGTTGATTTTTTTCCAAGAACCAGCTTTTGGTTTCGTTGATTTTTCGCGATTGGTTTTCTAGTCTCTATTTCCTTTCTTTCTGCTCTGATTTTTATCTAGCCTCCCTTCTGTTTGGTTTAGGCTTAGTTTTTCCTTCTTTCTTCCGTGTATTAAAGCGGAAGTTTCAGTTATTGATTTGAGACCTTTCTTCTTTCTCGATACAGGTGCTCAGAGCCGCAAATGTCTTGGTCCTATCTCAAAGTATTTTGTGATTTCTCTTTTGTTTTCTGCTTTGACTCTGGTTATTTTAGAAATGTGTAGTTTAAATTCCACATATTTACGAGTTTTCTCAGTTTTTTTCCTGTTATTCATTTCTAATTTCATTCTTTTGCAGTCAGGGAACATACTTTGTGTTATTTCTATCCTTATGTTTTTTTCTTTTTAAAAATGTATCGAGGTTTGTTTTATGTCCCAGCATTCGTTCTGTCCTGCAGAATATTCCATGTGCATTTCTGAAGAGATCCGCTGCTCCGGGCGGGGTGGTCTGTAGATGTCGTTTAGGTCCCGCTGGTTCACGGTGTCACCCGCGTCTTCCTCGTCGGCCTTCTGTCCAGCTGCTCTGTCCATTACTGAGGTGGGGATATTGAAGACTTCGACTAATATTTTTGAATTCTATACTTCTCCTTTCGTTTTTATCAGTTTTAGCTTCATGCGTTTTGCTGCTCTGTTGTTATTTACGTATATGTTTATAATTGTTACATATTCTTGACCTTTTTATCATTATAGAATGTCCCTCTTTATCTAACAATATTGTTTTAAAGTCTATTTTATCTGTTCGTGTGGACACTCCAGCTTTCTTGTGATTGTTGTTTGCAAAATATATTCTTTTCTTTCCTTTTATTTCAATCTGTTGGTATGTTTGAATCTCAAATGGGTCTCCCGTAGAGAGCATATGGTCGAATCTTGTTTTTTGTTTTTTTTTTTTAATCTGGTCTAATAATCTTCGCCTTATGATTGGATTGCTTAATTTATTCACATTTAAATTATTATAGATATATAGTGAATCTTCATTATTCACATATTTTGTACTCGCAAATTCACCTGCTTGCTTAAAGTGATGTGCGACCCCCAAAGTCAGCGCTCGTGCTTTCACAGTCATTTATGGGCGTGCCTAGAGCAGCCCAATGTTTGATGTCCCAGCGCGCGTGCGCGTTCTCGGCCGAGGCCGAATGAAGCACCGGTCCGCCGTCTAGTTTTGGCTCATACTACAGACAAGGGTTCTTTTCTACTGCTTAGTGCCGCATTTTCTACATTTTTGTGCTTTTATTGGTGATTTTCTTGTTTAAAATGGCCTCCTAAGTGCAAGAAGGCTGTGGTGTCCCTTACAGAGAAGACAAGAGTGTTAGACAAGCTTCACTCAGGCATGAGTTACGTTGCTGTGGGAGCGAGTTCGGTGTTAATGAATCAGCAATAAATATTGTGAAATTGTGTGTGTGTGTGTGTGTGCGCGCGCGTGTGTGTGCGCGCGCCTTCAGTTCTTGCTGATATTTGTCCTTGACTCGGTTTGTGACACAGGGCTCCGGAGTCCCTCGTAATTTCCTAAGTGATAGGAGCACCTGGAGTTCTAATGTTTGGTCTTTGACTCTGGTCTCAAATCCGTTGGCATTTCCTGGGTGACATGAGCATCTTTTGTTCTAACGAGGTGACTCTGGGTGGCTCCTGGGTCAGGGCTAGTCACCAGAAAGATGAGCCGTGTTAGGGGCTGGGAGCTCTCAGCCCCGCCCCCACCCTCCAGAGGGGAGCGGGCTTGGGGGTGGAGGTGTGGTGGATGGTGCCCACGAGAGGAAGCCCCATAACCGCCAGCAGTGTGGGAGTCAGGGAGCTTCCGGGCTGGTGGACACATCCGCACACTGAGAGAGCGATGCACCCCAGCCCCGCGGGACGGAGCTCCTGTGCTCAGGACCCTTCCGGGCCTCACGCTGTGAACCTCTTCACCTGGCTGTTTATCTGTATCTTTTCAACTGTCCTTGGCAATCAACGAGCAACAGCCATGACATTGTTCTCCTGGGTTCTGTGAGCCCCTCTAGCGAGTCATTCATTGAACTGAGGAGGTGGTGGTGGGAATCTCTCTGATTTGTGGCCAAGCCGGACAGAAGCTGTGGGCGACCTGGACACCTGCGACTCGCGAATGGCATATGCAGCGGGGGGTGGGGGGCAGTCTCGTGGCACTGAGCTCTGGACTCTGGGTGATGTCGGAATAGAATCGCGTCGCACCGCAGGACGCCCGGCTTGTGCCGGAGAAGAGGTCGCGTGGGAGGAAACGTGCGGCTGGCGTCAGAACCAGTGTGCGGGAGGGGCGACGGCACAGGGCGGTTTTCCTGGACGCACAGGAAGCCAGGCGACCAGCCGAGCAGCTGGCGGGAACGAGGCCGCAGGCCGCAGGCACGAGCTCCGGTCTCCCCGGGAGCCGCGGTCACTGCGCGCGCAGCGGTCACGTGGCCCCGCGGACCGGCCGCCTCCCCTGCCTCGCGTGGCTCCTGGCCGTGTCCCCTCGTCCTCTTCCACGGCTTTCTTTTGCACTTAGTGGGTATTTTCCAACGTAGCATTTTGATTTCTTTGCTGATTTTTCACTATATCTTAAAAACTCTTCCTTAGTGTCGCTCTAGGGCCGAGCGTATTTCAACCTATCGGCATCAGCTTCCGACTTAGCGTCGCTGTCCGGCGACCTGCGAAGACGCCGCTGCTTTTCCACATGGACCGTGTCCCTTCCTGCCCTTTCTCCGGGCTCACTGCGACGCGCACCTCTGTAGACATTTTAAAACCAGCAGTATACGGCCGTAATTATTACTTAATATACGTGTGTGACTTTTAAGACGTTTAGAGAAGTAAGGGAGCAAGTCCGTATGTTCAGCTTTTGGGATCCGAACCTTCTTTCTAACGTTTCCTGATCTCTTCGCTCTTTCCTGTGGATCTGAGTTACCATGTGGGGTCATTGTTCTTGCTCCGTACAGCTTTGCTCCGTGTACGTCCTGTGTGCCGATGTCAGCA